CAGGTCAATTTGTGATCAAATGAATAACTTCTGAAAGAGACTTAGCATGTCATTTGCTCAGATTTTTTTTTTAAATCTGAGTTATCACTTGTGGATCGTTTTGCTAGAGAATAGTGAGAAATCTTTGAAAAGTCCACACTGCCTACATTATTGCTTATAAAAATCATGTCTCTTTTTCTCCAAAGGTTTGGTGAACTACACAGAAGTACAAGTTGTATATGGCCTCAAACCATGGCTTTAGTTATTGCTTCAAGGGTTGTGGTTAAGGTATTGCTAGGAAGTCACTTTGGGATGAATGTATAATTCCATGTAAAAAAGCACACAGTGTGACTACATATTCAGTTGATATTACTGTGTAACAGAAAGGTCCAGAAGTAAGGCTGTCATATCAACATGTGTCTATGTCCTGAAGTTTATAGCTTATACCTTGGTGGTGAGAATCAGCAAATATGATGCACTGCACAGCTCTGGCAGTAATGAAGAAGATGGTCCATTGCTAGAATGCCTAATAGCCCTATAGTGAGCAATATTCATCCCTCATGCTTATTATCAGTGTTGACTTCTGTCTCTAAAAAGTTTAAAGATGAATGCTCAAAGAGCAGCTACTAGATTTGAAAGCAAAGCCAAAATCAACATTTATGAAAGAAACAATGGCATGAGGCCCAGAGTGTTTAATTTTTCAAAACAACTATACATGAAATCACATTGCTATTTCAGTCAACGTGCCTTGCTCCTAGTAATTAGGATCATTTGCATACTCTTGCATGATTTCGGTATCTGGCTGTACATTAGAGTGATTTTCTAAATGCAAACTCCTAGGCCCTATCTGAGCCCTACTGAACGCGGCTCTCAAAGGAAAAGCCTAGCAATTTGCATCTTCAAAATTTCTCTAGGTAATTCTTCTGGAGACAGTCAGGTGCTGCAAAGCAGATCAGCTGAGCCACTGAACCAGCTCATTTCTTAAGGATGAGATAGCACTGTGTTACTTAACTGAAGTTGTGAAATGGTCACTGCAGAGTAGAAATAAAGATACAGACTTCTCTACATTCCTAAGTTCTCCACAAACAGCATTCCTTTGACTCACATGATATCTACACTCAATACACACATATATATATATATATGCACACAAACCAGCAATATCCATTGCTTTCTGAAAACTACCTGATGCTATGAGAGTGATTGTGACTCTCCCTGCATTCTAAACAAAGGTATTAGTGACACTGACAATGGAAGAATGAACAAAAGGATGAGACAGAAAGGTGGCGGGACAATGCTACTAGTTGCTGGAATCAAGTGTGAGGAAGGAATTTTGCACACTATCTCAATATGTTCTGACAAGGTTATATTCGTCCATATATAATATCAGGATCTGTTCTTCATTCACCACCAAAAGGGTTCTGAGCTTGAGTTCAGAGTGAAGAGGAGTATGCCCATTTAACAGTAAATTTTATTCTATCAAGTTAAGACAACTAATACATTTCTGTTGGTTGTGAACTAGGTCTAATTTATGTCAAGAAGTACCCATGAAATCATCATTCACGTTGGAATGTGTTAAGTTTTAATTATTAAATCTCTCTTCAATTAGGATTTGGGGGCTATCTCTTGTAAGACATGCTCTTAGAAGTCTGAAATGACATAATTATTGTATTTACAGCTTGATGATCTAATACTAGAGATAACTAAGCAAAAATATGGATGTTGGTTTATAGACTTGAGCTTCTAGGATTTGTTGGCTGAAAGATATGGGCACATTCATTCATGCATACTTAAGTCCGAAGGATCATTTTCAGAAATTGCATGACATTCTTGGAGGCAGATTGTACTCTGGAGTCAGGTTGTACTTTGAAGACATTGTGCTTGGAGTCAGGTTGTACTTTGAAAAGAAATTGTAGATGTAAGCACTGCACCAACACATGCCACAGTCAAGTCACTGTCACTCAGCCCTGGAACTGTGTAGGTTTTATCTGTCTGAGTTGGGCATCAGCGACTTTTTCTGGGGCTCTGTCAGGCTCAAAAGTGGAAAGAGAAGAGAGTTTGTTTGATGGGACAGGACTTGAGGGGATAAGAAGGATCCAAGGATATTATGGAGCAACAGAGGGTCTTGGATGAGCAAGGTCTTGTTCAGATCACATGGCAAGATGGAAATCTATGTGTAGTGGTTTTACTTTCTACCCTAACCCTCCACACCTGCATCAGCCCTGCACTATCCTATTTGCTCTTGGCCACAATTAAACTCCCTCTCAATTCTTCACAGTACAGTATTTGGACCAGCAGCAATATGGTTTTTGATGGCATGTGTAACACCACAGCTGCTGGACAGGAGTGGGAAGTGTGAATTCAGGACTGACTCCACAGACCCAATCTCAAGCTTCAATGTCTGTGTCAGATTCCACACATAATCAGTATGAAAAGGGAAATCCAAATTAATTGGAAACAAAATTAGATGACATATAGAAGCACATTTTAGATAGTTCAGTTTTATCCTCAGGCTGTATCTTCTCTACATTACCAGCTAAGATATCCAATTTCTGAGGCATATTATTATTTGTTTTTCATATTATGGCCATGGTTACCTATTTAGGTCTGTGATGCAGAGAGATGCAGGAAGCTTTGAGTAAATATTGGAAGATTTTTATTTTTTTCCATTGTGGATTTGTTGGCCAAAGACAGTGTTAACTACATTGCCATGATCTTTAAAGTATTCCTTTTAGAGTAGGTTAAGTACGCTGCACTGTTTTAAGATAAACTCCTTTTATACCACCAGACTAAACTGCACACTATTCCTAATGGTTTGGAAGTAAATGGTCAAAAATCATACAAATACTCTCATAGTGTTAAAATCACACTTCCCAAGGTATGATATATAGACCGCTCTGTGTAGAAGAAATAAAAATATAGGGCGTTTTCACAGCTTCTAGTACCTATGACTGTAGCCACAAAGAACAGACATTTCATACATTGCAAGCATATATAGTAAACAGTGGAACTATAATTGTTAACCATAATAGTTTGGTGGGTGGGGAATGAAAACCATGAGACGATCTTAAAAATATATATTTGGATTCTAGTGTATGAAAAATGTAGGTTACATCCTGTCCGTGATATATAGAAGGTCTCTAGCATGTTCTTCAATGACTTCTCCATGTAAAATTATCTAAACCAATACAGAGTTTGCAATTCATCCAATGAATTGAGACTATCTACACAAATTCTTCTCTCTAGGTCAGTTACAGAACAATGGAGATTGCCAACCACATTTTTAAATGTAGATATTTCCCAAAGATGTTCTTAAGTTGCTGGGAGACTAAGCATGTGTTTCGAACAGCTGCTTAGGTGAATCTTTTTACAAAAGGAAGAGAAATAGATCAGATGGCTCTTGAACCTTCTCTTCAAGCCTTATGTTTACCAAACACTCGGTTTAACAAGGAGTCATTTGTCAATTACAGATAGCACAATAAGCCCTAAGTTACTACATAGAATAAGCAGAAATGATCTCAGTGGGTCTGGCTCTCTCTCCATACCTCTGTCCTGGAGAGCTCTAACCTTGGCTAGGCATTTTCGAGTATCAGCATGAGGCTTAGAGTGCTTCTAGGCTCTTCCATCCCCACAGGCTGCAACCCTCACTTGCACCCTGTGGAGCAGGCGCATTCACATTTCAGTCTCCTGAAGTGATTTCTCAGCAATTGCCCTCTCGTGAGAATACCCTGTATGCAGTTGGCACAGCCTCCTGAACACACCCTGCCCTTCTGTCCCCTCATGGTTGGAAGCAGACGTAGGCCCAGCACAAAGGGGACAGAAAAGGACTGAGAGAGTTCCAGCTCTCTTGGCCTGACTTCTCCACACAAAGAGCCCCACTGCAGTGTCCTTTAGAGACCCCCAAGGTGAGAACAGACTTCAAAATATCAAGGGGATTGTGATTGTAACAAATACCCTGCCTGCCTATAAATATTTCCTAGTTATATACACAGAGAACTTAAAAAGGTTAATTAAACCTGACAGACTACATTGAAAAATAGTTTATAGCTATGTAGTATATATAGTGTATAGAGATATCTATAGATATACTTAGATAGCTATATCATAACTGAATCAGGAATATATTGCTTTCTGGAGAGAGCGAGCCACCAGCACGGAACCCCCTGGAGTGAGAAAACACCCACTCCAGCCTTCAAGAAAGCCAATCAATCAGTGCTCCCCAATCAGTCAACTCAAGTAGTAATGGAAGCTTTTACCTTGGATCCCAAATAGGCAAACTCTGGACACATTGTGCTCCTAACTTCAGGGTGAGCCTGTAATCATATTGTCATGCAGTGTTGATCATTGGAGCAGGTTTTATGTTAGTAAAACATGCAACCTAACTCCAGTATCTTCTTGCTCTGAAGGTCAGCCCTACTCAGTGTTCAGAAAGGTGATTCACTGAATTAAAGAGCCATATCAAGTCAAAAGTATAGAACATTCTTTTTCTAATACTAATTCTTAAAGTGGTAAAGATGCAGGGGAGTTTCTCTGCAATAAGAAACAACATTCTTGGTAAAATATCCTGACAATTTTTTTTTTTAAATCACGAATGACAGTATGAAGGAATTTGTTTCTAGGCGTGGCAGTCAGCTCATAGGAGGAATCAGCTGATGAAGTTATTAGACTACTGTTTGTTGTACAAAAATATCTATTTCTAAGTGCTTACTTGGAAGGGTCTACTGAAGCATTTCTTGTCAACCAATAATGTGTTAGAAGACTGCAAAAGACCTCTCCCCCACATCTTGGTTACAGACAATAATCTGCTACTAGGAAATTCCATTTTTTTCTCTGGGGTCCACCCCACTTTAATTAAATCTAAAAGATGTATTTACTCAGCAGAGGTGCAATGCTTTCCCAGCAGCTGAAACTCTTGGTTATATGTATTCTCCGTCCAAGTGCTAATCTCCCTAAATAATCCAAGTTAATTTAGTAGGTTAGCATTACACAATACCCCAACCAGACAGGAGCAGATTCTGGAGAAAAAAAAATCGAATAATGCTGTGTGAAATGTAATTATCTAGAAGAAGAGGTATGTATAAAAATAGGTAATATCCCTCAAATATTTCGCTGTGTTGGTCACACTGCCATGGTGCATTGTATGAAAATGTTGTCTGTTCAGAAACACAAAGTTAGAAAAGATTTCTCATCTACCAGGTTCACTAAGATAACGTGATGATCCATACTCAAAACTGGCTCTCCAAAGTGGTACAAATATACAAGGGAAGGTATCTGCATGAGTGACAAGCAAGAAAACACAGAGTCTATTTATTGGTTAGTTTTGAAAGGGGGGCCTTTGTACTTGTAATTAAAATATATATATATATATATATGCCCCGCAAATGCTCATAGAATGGACACATTTCATCCCCTACCCCACCCTCCAGCTATATTTATTGACAGTGGTCCTCCACCTGTCCAAGGATTATTGCCTGACACGACACAGAGATTCCACTGCTTTGTCTCCACAAAGCATTGGAAGAGAAAAAAATAATCTCCCTCCACCCTTCTTGTGGTGAGCCAGGTTGTGGGCTTGTGCTTTTGGGAGGAGTCTTTGATCTTGGAGCGGGTCTCAGAGGCTTGTCTCCCGGAGGAACATGGTGCCGATGTTGTAGGAAACCTTTTTTATTCTCGACGAAGAGAGGGAAGGTTTCGGTGGCTTTGGTCCAGTCCTTACCTCCAGGAAATAGCAGATCCCAGGGATTTCCTTGGGAAAGTTATCTGGAAGTTCTTCACGGGACCGAGGAATGAATGTGAAACTTTCTTCTCGTTTTAATAATCTAGGGAGAAAACACAGATCACGTGAACAAAGAGCAAGACTAGTGTGAATAAGTAGACATTTCCAAAGTTCAGGAGGCTGGTCCATGATTATCAACCTATGTTAATACCCTGATTTCTTTACACAGACTTCAAGCAGTAGAAAATTGTTATGACTCAGGAAATACCCCTTCACATTATTTAATGATAGAACAACCACCAAACTTCTCATCACAATACTTAAAAGTATATAAGTGTGATGTCTTCCTAAACAGCACCCTTGGAAAAAAAATATTTGCTCAAATTTTATCCCTAAAACAAAGGGCTAACAAAAAGAACAAGGCTTTATTTCAAATATGCAGGATTTACCCAGCATGTCTTGAAAAGTCTACTCAATTTTTAGAGTGCTTTTTTTTCTGTTTTGTACACTCTCAATAAGCTTTAAATGTTTGTTCTGTATGTCCAATACATAAATCAAGTATTTAGCTTTGTGGAACATTTCATGACTCCTGGGTCTGGTTATTGATTTGTAGCAACGAAAATCTAGTAAATTTTCCCTAGCTCACTATCATTTATTGGCCTCAAATATGTTTTTAAAGCGATATGTATTTTTGCATTTGTCTTACTTTAAGTAGTTGTACAGGGGAGGTGTCATGTGACAAAGCAGTTTATGAATACAGCGCATCTTGATCTGTCACCCCCCCCTTCAACAATCTCATCCCCCTTCGACCCATCCCTTCCCATACCTGCCTTAGTTTTGTGGTGTAGTCGATGAATTCCTTGCCTCTGCATTCTTCCCTTCATTGTCTACCTCTCTCCCCTTGCTCCTTGCCTCCACGAGTACTCATTTCTTGGTGCTTATTTTGTTGGGCTTTGATTGCTCTCCCCTTCTGGTCACGTTAGATGTTCTTTCAGTGTTCACACTGAAGATTTATCCTTGAGACTCATTACTGAGTTCTACCAAAGATTCTCTTTGATTCCCATATCGACATATGTGGTCCCCAAATTCAATTTAGTTCAACAACTCTTTAACAGAATGCTTCTTATTGTCCCAGAAAATTTCCAAGACACTCATGTAAGTAGGAGAACATAGCCTAGAAAGGTTTTGTCAGCCAACATGGAAACCAGAAATTAAAGAACAAAACCCTCCACAAATAATAAATGTAAAAAAATAAATAAAACAATCCACAATAGTACAGTGAGAATGTGAAAACAGAATGGTGCCATATGAAAGCAAGATACAAAAGGTAAATACAAGGAACTGCATAAGTCCTGAAGAGGAAAACTGTTAGCCATGGGAGGCCCACGAAGATTTTGTGGACATAATGCTATTTTAAGTACAAAATGGCAACAAGGGAATATGACAAACAGAATCCATTTGCTTAGCTCCCCTCATCTTCTGTTTTACAATCATTGATATTTTCTGACCATGGAAAATAAAAATGGGATTCCATCTATGACAACTTGTGAATGGACTGAAAAAAAAAGGGGGAAGGGGTCACCCAGCTGTTCCAGATGCCAGAACTTTTAAATAATTCACTGCATTTTGGCTGGCAGGAGACATTTCGCCACACATTGATTTCCTGACACTTTAAATAAATCTCCCAGACTGTGCTGGAAAACATCAGGGTGACAGCTTTTTATAGGGTTTCATTCTTTTTTCCAAGTAAACATTTTGGTATCAATAAACCAAATATGGTTTTGAATTTCAATCAGAGTGGATTGCAGTTCCTGTGATACCCGGGAACTGGCTGTTGGTCTTTGTGTATGTAAACACCAGAGTGCAGTGTTCAGCTGACTTCAGATAGGGCAGTCCAAGAGACTTACTACGGGGTCTATGGAGGAGGTGAGGAGAAAGTTTTACACAGCATCCCTAATGATGATTATGCGTCATTGAAAAAGCGATCAAATGTGTGGACAGAGATTAAGAATGGGGACTTTGGTCCAGGGCTAGGATCTCTGATCCTCTTTGAAATGCTTTATTAAGTCCAGTCCCTGGCCTGGTTCTATAGCTCTGCTTAAATGATCCATCTCTTCAGCACCTCAGGACCAAGAAGGAAGCTTAGATTCTGCATAAATCTCATTCCCCAGCTGTAATCTCTGGCTGGTTGATACGCAATTGGAGAGTTTCAGCCATCAGTGTAATAAGAACTTTGAAGCTATACAAATTGTAGTCCGCTTACCTCTCACCCTCATATCAACAGTACTTTCTACAAATTGATTTTGAGAATAAAAATTCCCTGCTGTTTAAGATGGATGGCATCCAAGCACCTCCCGGAACTTGACGTCATGGCGATCTAAGGTGCTGTTCTTCACAGCTGCAGAACTGAGTCTGGGCTGACCCTTGGACCACATTTGCATGCCTTTTCCTCCTAATTTTCTCCAACTTTGTGTTCCATCCATTACATCCTTCCTTGGAAAAGTACTTGAAACATACACGTACACACATGTATACATTATATATGTCTGTCTGTATATGATTCCATATATACAGGTATGTAGATAAGGAATGTGTGTATATGGACTATGGAAGTCTGCTGATCTAAAAATATACTTTTGGGAGTGGTGCTGTGGCTCAAAGTGGTAGAATGCTAGCCTTCAGTGAAAGAGCTCAGGGACAGCACCCAGGCCCCAAATTCAAGCCCCCTGACTGACAAAAGCAAAACAAAACTGTATACTTTAACATAAGGCTGAGTTTTGAAAAATGGAAAGGAGTTATAATATGAAACCTATTCTTGGGTATATTTTCTTCTTCAAATCATACTTCAAGAGACATGTATAGAATGTATTAACTGGAATATGGTAGATTCAAGGGAGAACTCAAATACTGTAATTCTTTAGAAAGGCAAAGGCAAAATTCAGCAAAATAAAAATACCAGGAAGTAGGTACTCAAAAGGGGTGGAGTGAGGTCAAGGGGGAAGAGGTAGACATATGAAAAGGAGAGGAATGGAGGAAGGCAGCCAAAAATCAAATGTATAGCCTACAAAATTAAGATGAGCAAGGAGGGAGGTAGGGGGAATGGGTGAGCATCTTGAAAGGAGTGACTTTGATCAAGACACATTCATAAACTGCTTTGTTAAATAGTGACTCCTTTATACAACTTCTTAAAGATAATTTTTTAAAGAGATGTTTATGAAGCATAGTTTGGTCATCCATGAAGCAGAAGCAAGAATTTGGTCTTTTTATTCCACCATAAGTTTTCCTTTCAATTCTATCCTTTGATTCAATTGCTAATTAGAGAGGCTGTCTGAGAAAGTCATCTAAGAGATTACTCACCAACTTGTTTACTAAGTACCTGACACTGCTCACCACTTATTAAGTAGTTCAAGAGCACTAAATTATATCCCCAGTCCTATTTTTTAAAATAGGGTCTCTTTCTATAGCTCAAGCTGGCCTTGAACTTGCTGATATAGCCTAACCTGGGCTTCAATTCCCTATCTTCCTGCCTCCACTGCCAAGTTGTAGAATTACAGTCATAAGTCAGCATGCATGGCTTTCACTAAGATGCTTTAGAATTAAAGCAATAGATACTTCACTTAATATAATTTTCCTTATGAGTGGGGCAATGTCATTCTTTCTGATGGAAGCATAGAATTCCATTGTGTGTATCACATTTTTGTGATCTATTTGTCTTCTGAGGGGCATCTAGATTTATTCCGTATCTTAGCTATAGTAAACAGTGCTGCAACGAACATGGTTGTGCTGGTGGCTTTAGTGTAGCCTGGTTTGTGGTCAGTTGGATAAATGCCCAGGAATGGGAATTGCTGGGAGATAGGAAAACTCTGTTTAGTATTTTGAGCAATCTCCATACTGCTTTTCAGAGTAGTTGAACAAGTTTACATTCCCTTTTGGTCACATCCCTGCCAGTATCTGTTACTGTTAGTTTTCGTGACAATGGGCATTCTAACTGGAGTGAAGTAGAATCTCAATGTTGTCTTGATTTGCATTTCTTTTATGGCCAGAGATGATGAACATCTTTTCATGTGTCCGCCATTCTTACTTCATCTGAGAAGTCTCTCTTTAAGTCTTCAGCCTATTTATTAATTGGGTTGTTGTTTATTTGAGGTTCTGTTTTGGAGGGGGTTAATGTTTTTTAGCTCAAAGTATATTTTAGATATGAGGCCCTTATCTAATGTATAGCTAGTAAAGATCTTCTGTGAGCTTTATCTTGCTAACTATGTCCTTTGCCATGCAGAAACTCTTCAGTTTGATGCAATCACATTTATCCAGTCTTTGATTTGTTGTGATTCTGGACCTTTACTTAGAAAGTTTTGACCCATGCCAAGGAGCCGTAGTGTTTCCCCTATCCTTTCCTGTAATATTTTCAGGGTATCTTGTCTTTCATTGAGGTCTTTGATCCATTTGGAACTGATTCTGGTGCAGGGTGATACATAATAAGTATCTAACTTCAGTTTTCTACACATGTATAGCCAATTCTGCCAGCATCATTTGCAAGGCAAGTGCTCTACCACTGAGCCACCTTCCCAGCCTGCATCATTTGTTGAAAAGACTATCTTTCATCCTGTGTTTTGGGCTCCCTTACCAAGTCTACAAGTCATTCCTGGGTCTTCTATTCCATTGGTTCTCAGGACTATTTCTGTGCAAGTAGCAAGCTGTTTTTTGTTTTATTACTATGGCTTTGTAATAGAGTTTGAAATTTTGTATTGATATTCCTCCAGCACTGTTCTTGATAGCAGGCTAAAGGGCAGCTTGCCCAGCAGAGGGTTACCAAGGATATGTGGAGAGTAAAACTTTAAAGAATTTGAATGTCTGAAATATCTTTAGTTCATTTTACTCTCCACTTGAATGGTTTAGGTATTAAATTCTTGTTCAGAAATTATTTTCCCCTCAGTATGTAGCTTCTTAAAAAATTAAATGTTAAGCTGGGTGCTGGGGGCTCATGCTTGTAATCCTACCTATTCAAGAGGGTTGAGATCTCAGGAGTACAGTTCAAAGCCATCCCAGGCAAGGAAGTCTGTGAGACTCTTATCTCCAATAAACTACTCAAAAAAGTTGGAAGTG